TTGTTATGTTATGGCTTGGTAAGATTACGTATTTGTATGATATATTTGGCAATTCGAAAGCCATATTACTATGTTTTTCAGATAGTGCCAAAGAAACGCCATATCGTTATTTTTTGTTATATAGTTCTTTCTCTTATAGCAACAACAGAACAGCAAAACAAAATAATAGTGGAAATGTTAGCAGAGCACAAATTACAGCTGCAAACCCTCAATAAGTCCCAGAAAAATGTTACTTCCCTGTCAAGCAAATTTCCCCTCAAATCCGAAGAAGATCTCCAAAAAGTTGAGAGTGAAATATGCGATTCGAATGAAGAAAAATATGTAAGTAATCGTTGCCCTATATTGTATATATGTTGAAATACCTTCAATTTTAAAATTATATACTTTTTCAATATTTTTTTATTTTTAGATATCTGCTGTAAAGTATTTAATCGATGGCAGCGCAATAAAAAATTTGGAACGCATTTTTTCCCGGGAGATTTGCGTAATGTACAATACGGATGGTATTTGTGGGAAAAAATGTTTGAAGAATTTTAAAAGAATATATAAAATTGTTATTGGTAAGTATTCTGATTCTAAAACATTATTAAGTTTTAATGAATTTCTTTATTTTAGCTGCAATAAGTGACTATTCCCCCAATAGCGAAAAAGAATTTCGAGCAGCACTCCAAGTCGTAAAAAAAAGGCACTTCCGAGTTGTTTGTTCCCAAAACAAAAACAAAAATTAATTATATAATTTGTTAATTACATGTAATTTTTAATTTTTTTAATGACAGTGAATTGGAATATTACTTAAGTTTTTTTAATGAATTTATTATTAATTATATTATTTATCTCACTAAAGACTATCAATGTACCTGCAGAATGAAATATTTATTTTTATGTTTTATAGAATAAAACACTAATACTTATAGTACATTACTTATGTTGTATTATTTCCTGTTTTTCTCTGAGTGTATATATCGTTAAATCAGAGAAAAGCGCAAAATAAATAGACCACTTAATGGATTGGTTTCAAAACTAGCCCTCTGGGGTACTCTATGGACTAGTTACACGGATTAGTTTTAAGATCAACCGTATGTGGTGTACCATAGAGTAATGACGTGGACTAGTTTTGAAACTACTTTGATGTAATGCAAAGCTGGGTTACATGGTCCGGCCCTAGGACATAGCAATGCTAAATCGGTTAGGTTTTTTCAATGCATTTGGGTTAGTTTTGGACTACTCCTGGTCTGTTATGGACTACTCTTTACACGCGTGTAAGGGTTAGGCGCATTATTTGCAGGGTCATCAACACCATCGACAACTACTACCAATCACCAATACATACACACCAACATCAAACATGCATCCATCCAACCAACACTAATTTATTTTCTTAAAAGAAAAAGCTGAGAAAAGAAAATTCTTTTCTTCAGTTTTTTGTTTTTGAATAACAAAAAAGACGTTGTAATAAAACAAGATTTTTTCCTCTCTCTCTCCCTTTTTTGTCTTCTTCTTCGGCTGCTGCTTGCTACGTTTTTCATCCATTCATTATGTTTGCTTGACTTGTTACAAACATTGAATCAATTTGACTGAATGCTGCTGCTGCATCATTGATTCTCACAGAGAGTAAATTGAACAAACACAACAACAACAAAAGAAAATTTTCTTGTAAAATAGTCAAAAAGCGACAACATGGCTGATAAACTTTAAATCTGCTTGAATTTTCCAACCAAACAATAGTCACTTATTGCCACCAACCACTCACTCACACAGCAGACCAGTTTTTTGCCGCTTTGCCAACTCCCCCCGTCGTGAACAAGAAAACAGCAACCCCATGTCCCATAACAGCAATAGAAGTCTATCGAAAAGCAGCCGCAGTAGCAACAAACATCAACACTTCAATAGCAGCAACAATATAGAAAGTCCAAGCAGTAGCAGCAGTAGTTGTAGCAACAGCGACGCCAACCGTAGCAGAGGCGGCGGCAGTGGCCATAGTTATAGCAACAGCCAAAATTATACCAGCAATTACGATAATAATTTTAGCAACAATTACAGCGGCAACTATAGCGGTGATTATAGCATCTACACCTATACCAACTACAATCAAAAGCAACAAAAACAACAAGTACAGGAACAGGACGAACAGCAGCAACACGATCATTTGAAAGAGCTGCAACAGCAACAGAGGTAAACGAAACACACACACACAAACGTGCAATCACATTTCAACTGCATAATAACAAAAACAACAAATAAAAAAGGCGGCAAACATAATCCCCCATATCTCTCATTGCACGGATACGCACTCATTAACTTACTACTCCTCTCACACGGCAAAAGAAAGCCCCCACTCTCTGCAAGCATCATCAAGAAATTTTCTAAAATAAATCATAAGACACAAAAGAAAAAGAAAGGTTACTTTGGCTCTCCAACTCCCCACTCAGCTCACTCTCCACAACTAACCAACCTCCCTCCCACCCACTCATCATCAATATACTAACAACAAAACCACTTTAGTTAGAATAACAACAACAGCCAGCAACAAGACATTTTTATACTCCACAAATTGAATGAAAATATTTACTTAACTCTCCAATCAGGGCTGCCAGATTTGACGATTTATCGTCATTTTGACGATTTTTTGGTCAAAAATTGAAAAAATGACGATTTGACGATTTTTGCCCAAAAAATGACGATTTTTGGTCATTTTAGTAATATTGCAATATTTGGGTTCTTTTTGTTATGGCAACATCAAAAATGTATAAAGCGAAAGAAAAAGTAAAAAGAATTTGAATATTTGGCATATGTGTGTGAGGTATACTTTGTACTGTTACAAATCCAACAACAGTTTACGTTTACCCAGATAGATGAAAAACTACCAATCAGCTGTGCCGTTCTCTGTGTAAACAGCAACAAAACAAATAAAAGTTAACGGTTGTTGTTTTTTGACACGGGCAAATTGAAGAAAATTGGAAAATTTAAATTTCAATTTATACAAAGTTATTACAATTTTAAAAAGATTCGATTTGAAAGCATTTTTTAAATTGTATCTATGATAAGTCCCACGTATATAAGTAATGAAAAGAATAATTCATTTTTCGATATCCTTAAAGAATTTCCACATTTTGTGAACGAAGATGAAAAACAAAAATTGGATTCAGAATTTCGCGAACTAAGGTTGTTTGATTTTGATAACATTTGTGACAATGATGAAACCGATTTATTTCGTTTTTGGAATGCAATATTTAATTGATGGTGATGGTTCATATGTTTTCCTATAATAACTAAATTTTTACGGAAGGTAACGGTATTACCCCATTCCTCAGCAAATGTTGAGCGTGTTTTCAGCCAAGTAAATCTTAATAAAACGAAAAGTCGAAATTCCCCAATAAGGATTCAATGGAGAAATTTATACCAAAGATTATTTAAAAGTTAACAAAACAAATTGTTATGATACGTTAATTAAAACCGACATGTTGAAAATGATTAACACAAATATTTCTTTTCAAAATGAATGACTTTATTAAAGTCGAAATGACTATTCAAATATTTATTTATAAAATAAATGAATCTCTTGATTAGCTTTAAAAAACGTGTTTAATAAATTGAATACCTCTTTTATGTTCATTTTAATAAAAAAATATATTTAAATATATCTAAATGTGCGTATTTAAATTTTTGACGATTTTTGATAAAAAAAATCGTCATTTTGACGATTTTTCCAAAAAAAAATCTGGCAGCCCTGTCTCCAATTAAAAGAGACAGTCAGTGAGAGAGCAAGAGACACACTGAGAGAGAGAGAGAGAGACCAATAATCATCATTAAGTAGAGTGGGTACACACGGCTTTGCAAAAGGTAGCACGTGCAAAAATAATTTTGCACAAACACACACAGCATAATAAAAAAACAAAAATAAACAGGCTCGCTCTCACTCCTCGGCAATAAAAAAAAACAACAATAACAAACATTTTTGCCAAAGAATCATAAAAAAGGTGATAAAATAATTACAAAAAAGGCAAGGTGGTATTTAAGTAGCAGCAGCAACACTGCAAAACAAAAAACCAAACAAGCATAGCCCTTAAGCCTGCCTATGCGTGCAAACGAGACAAAACATACACACACAAACAATCAAACAGAAGGTAAAGCAAGCAAAGGTGGTCATGCAACATAACACAAAGAAGCAGAAGAAGAAGAAAACATCTGCCGACTACAGTCGTCGACAATGAATGCCTTCGCCAATGCATACGAAAAACATTACATATAACAAAACACACATCAACAACAATCATCAAGAGACTCGATTTAGCCTACAGGGGAGAGTGTGAAAGAGAGAGAGAGCGTTCGTGTGTGTACAGTACATTTTAACCACAAGTAAACAAAACTAAACTAAAAAACAGGGAGGGAAATTCCTACGCGAGTGTGAGTTTTATATCAGAGAGAATTACCGCGAGAGAGTTTACGATACACACACACACACACTAAACAATAAATACAAACCAGAAATAATAACAAGAAGAATTGTGTGTGGTGGCAAATCAACAACTCTATGAAAAGGAGTAGTAGTTGTTTACTCTCAGTTTGCCAAAGAAAACGAACGTATGCGTAACAAAGGTTTTTTTGAGCTCGTTGTCGGACAAAAGAAAGGAATAAAATAGTGATAAATATTAAGGAATTTTGATTCAAGAAAGGAATAAAAATAAAACGAAAACAAAAAAGAAGTCAACTAAAAGGAAATCGATTTATAAAATATATTATTATTAAAGGTAATAATAATTAAATATTCATATTTTTAAATGAATAAGAAATAACTACTAAAATAAAAAAATGAGTGATATAAAGTGACCTAAAGAGAATGAAAGAAGAAATAACAGTTTTGGTAAATAATGAAAAGTAAACATCAACAAATCAATAATAAATTGATCAATGAATAAAAATACCAATAAAAATACAAACATGAATTATTTTAAACAATCAAGGAAATTTATTGAAATAATTAAATTTTTAAAAATTATATATTAACATATGAGAAATTAAGTGGTTTTGTTTAGTGACTTAAATAAAGGAAAAAAAAAATAAGTTTCTTAGAGAACTTGCATTGACAAAAGATCAAGGGGAAAAAACAATGAATGAAATGAAGTAAAACTAAAAAATAAATAAAATATAATATAAATAAATTATAAAAATAAAAACAAACTAAAATAAATGTTTAAATAAAATCAAAATGAAAATGTTATACTCTTAAGGGAATTTTACATTAAATAAAAGAAATGTAAACAATAAATTAAAAAGTGAAAATAATAAATAAACTAAGTATAAATTAGGTATAAAATATAAATACCTATAAAAAAGAGTAAATATAAAAAAAATAAACAAAGTAAAAATTAGGTACAAAATATAAATACCTATAAAAAAGAATAAATAAAAATAATTAAGAAGTAATCACATATGAATAATAATTTAAAAAATAAATAAATAATTAAAACAATAACAAAAATATATCTTACATTAAATATAAAAAATAATAAAATTATTAAATTAACAAAATAAAAATTAAATATCAAATCAAAAATATTAAAGCAATAAAATAAAAATAAAATAAAATAAATAATAAAAATCAAAAATAAAAATTAAATAATAAAAATAATAAAATTAAAAAACAACAACAAATTAAAAAAAAAAAAATAAGTTAAAAAATTACAAACATATAAAATTAAAAAAATAAATTTAAATAAAAAAGCGAAATACATAATTAAAGAAGAATAACATAAAAAATATTTAAATAAAAATAATATAAGTTAAGAGAAAAATATAAATTAACAAAAGAGTTTAAAAAGTTCAATTTAAGAAAATAAAAATAATAAAAATCAAAAATTATAATAAAAATAAAGATATATTTTAAAACCAGTGAGCGGAGCAGTATAGTCGGACGGGGCCGA